AATGATATAAAAACTTTTATACTTCAATTTTGATGAGTGTATGATGTATCAATTTTGAGCGCATCACTATACTCAATAGTGGGTACATGGCGTTTTTTAAATACGACTGTATTTGTTTGGTAAGTATATTGAGTGTTTGATACGATCAAAAATGACAATTAAACTATTACTACTATATTGCTCATAACAGAAGTGGCTTATAAGTCATTTGTCAAATTTACGAACAGATAGTAAGCATCAGGACATCACAAAGACACCAGGTTGAACGATGGGACTTGAACCCGCTATCTCTACCCGACAGAGCCAGCTCGTTGTTGTTGTTGTTAATTTACGTCGCACTAGAGCTGCACAATGGGCTATTGGCGACGGTCTGGGAAACATTCCGGAGGATGATCCGAAGACATGCCATCACAATTTTGATCCTCTGCGGAGGGGATGGCACCCCCGCTTCGGTAGCCCGACGACCTGCGCGCGAAGTCGAGCACTTTACGGTAGCACAGTTTAACGAGGACCAATACCGCACACCCTCGGTCCCTACGCAGAGCCAGCTCGGTCACAGAGTTCAGTTGATGAAGAGGATGTATATACTTCTCGCTTTTATCCTCTGTATCTTGAGAGAGATGAGCTGAAATTATAGAATTATCGTGAAAATAGCTGAACAAAGAAAATTCAGCAATAAAGGATAAAAAAAAAAGTGATTTATAGCCTTGTTTTCAATGAGCAGTGCAGCAAGCAACACATAAAGTGTACCAGTTCCAACACCCTTGGAGAACATCAAATATTGTTAGGTACTCATTAGATAGAAAATGCCATCAGAGATAAGTAGGTAAGTGGGTATTTTATTTACGTAACACTAAGAGCTGCACTATGGGCTATTGGGCGACAGACTGGGAAATATCCCAGTAGATGATCAGAAGACATGCCATCGCAATTATAATCCCCTGCAGAGGGGATGGCTCCCCCGCTTCAGCGGCCCGACGACCTACCTGCGAAGCCGAGCACTTTGCGATGAAACAGCTTAATCAGAACCAATACCGCACGCCCTCGAACCTTAATCAGACAGCTACGTGTGGTCACAAACCTGCACACTCACCGTAGCTTAGCTATAGTGTTGCTTGACTTCGATGATCTGCTGAGAACCGTGTCTGAACGATCAGTTCATTGCGGGACCCATCGCAGATAAAAAAAAAAGTCCTTTGCGGTCATGGAGGCTGCAAAAGAAAAAAAAATGGTTTTTGTGACAAAAACAAACAGACGGGAGCGATCACAAGCACCCGCCCTCTCATATCTTATAAAAAGGACAACACTCGCTCATTCTTCACCCATACATTAAGTACGCCACTGACTCAGATTTGTGGGGCACATCTTTTGTTTGATCAATGTTTACAGGTAAGTTAACTTTTCTTTTTATGTTTCATTAATTTTTGCGTGAATTGATTTTTAAATTAAAAAAAGTTGTTCTACGAGTCTCTACAGCTTCGTAACTTTAAATAAATTTAGTTAATTTCAAATGAAACAAGTTTCACTCGAATTTTTTAAAACTCTTGAACTTGGATTTCGATAAATTGATTTATGAATGTCCGAAATTTGCCATTTTGATTTTATTCTATTAAATTTTTGGTTAGATTATTTAATACTAAGGCATAATGCTAGTTTCAAATGTCTCACTTTTGTCATCATTTTAACACCACGTTTTTACTGCTTAATAATTGTAAAACTGATTTAAGTATACTTTTAGATGCTTATAAAATGTTTTGTTGTATAAAAAGATAAAATTACTCTATAATTAATAAACTTAACTTCTACGAAGAGTTTAAGCGCATAGCATTTCAAAGCATTTCTAAGAAATGATTACGCATACATTGATACAGAATGAACTGTTAATTTACAGATAATATACAATTTGTTTAATTATGCTCTTGACAGCTGAAAAAATTTGAATCTTAAGAAACCATACAAAGTGATTTTCTGGCCATAGAAAATGAAACGTATTTAGACCATTATGTTATAAAAGCAACTTACTCGAATAAAAAAATCTGCTAGGTTTCCTTAGTTTTATGATTTGTTAAATGCTTCGCTAAAGATACATAATTTGAAAAGCTCCTACGAAGATTTCAAAAAGATTTTCTAAGGTGTTTAAGGAGCATTAACATTAAATGTAGCATCTACTGTAGATTTTTCTTTGGAAGATATCTCGCTGGATGAGGTACAGAGTGCCCTGAGGGCCACAAAACCAAAGAAGGCTGCAGGGAGAGATGGAATCGTGGCAGAGATGCTTAAGGCAGATGTTGAAACAGCTACAAGACAGTTGCAAAAGCTCTTCAATGAAATCTGGAGAAATGAAAGAATACCAGAAGAATGGCAAGAAGCAGTAATAGTGAAAATTCCCAAGAAAGGCGATCTAACAAAATGCGAAAATTGGAAGGGCATTAGCCTACTTTCCATACCGGGAAAAATATTTGGAAGAATAATTTTGAATAGACTAAAACATGAAATTTATGACGTAAGACTAAAACATGAAAAATATTTGTTTAGAAAAGTTCTTTAGGCGCAAACTCTATTTCTGGCTGTGAATTTCTAGTAAATTTCATTACTCTTATTACTCAGCAAATTTAATATTTACAGTATGTTTTTTTATAAAATAAATCATTTAACCAAGGAATTTTAAAATTTTGTTTTTATGATTCTCACATTTCCTCTGCCAGGCTTTTTATCTAATTTTTTATCTCAAAAATACATTAGTAAAAGATTTTTGTATGTTTTAATTCTGAAATGTATATACTTGAAAGTATATAATAAAACTGCGTAATGTTTCAATTCTTTTTAATAAATTACGCAGCGAGAGGGTTAAGACAAATCTTAAAATAAAATTATTTTTGATAGTTTTTAATAAATTTTAGACATTGATCTACATTTAAAAGTTAAAGTTAGATTTCAGTAAATAAAGTCTTTTAAAATTTTTTAAAGAAAGTTAAATAAAATCTGGCAAAAGACAGAAGTTTTCACAACTGTTTTGTGCAAGCGAAACCTTAGGCTTTACTTTGTACTCGACCATTGTGTATATAAAACCGTGACAGCCCTGATTGTCAAATTCTGGTCCTGTTAAAGTTCGGTTTGGTCCCACAGTGGACTGATCGTTACGACATGGTTCCCAGCAGATCACCGAAGTCAAGCATCACTGGCTGCAGTCAGTGTGCGGGTGGGTGACCACTTGGATCAGTCTGCGTAGGGACCGAGGGTGTGCGGTATTGGTCCTCGTTAAACTGTGCTACCGTAAAGTGCTCGACTTCGCGCGCAGGTCGTCGGGCTACCGAAGCGGGGGAGGGATCAAAATTTCGATGGCATGCCTTCCGATCATCCTCCGGGATGTTTCCCAGACAGTCGCCAATAGCCCATTGTGCAGCTCTAGTGCGACGTAAATTAACAACAACAACAAGTTCGGTTTGAATATGTCTTCTGAATTTGGAGTTTCTCTTAGCAATTTTGAAGTCTTAAAGTACTATAATGCATACTATATATTAAGTCTAGTTACGTCTCAAACTTGAATTGTTAAACTATTCTTATTTGTAAATATTGGTTTTTCTAAGAAATACCTTGAGTTCTAAATAAATATTAATTATTAAACTTTAATTGCATTTCATGTCAGTTAGTAATTTTCTTAAAAGGACTAATTTCCGTTCCAAAAAATACTTTAGTAAAAGATTTCGTGTGTTTTAATTATGAAATATATATTAGAAATTATGTAACTGCGTAGTTTTTGAATTTATTTTGATAAATAAAATTATTTTTGATAGTTTTTATTAAATTGAAAACAGCTATCTACATTAAGAAGTTGATTTTTGTTTTTTCTCTGTTATTTACAGAAACTAGACTTCTAAAGTTGTTATAAAGAAAGTTAACCAAAATCTGGTAAAACTAATTATTTTTAAATCCGGTTTGACTATGTCGTCTGAATTTCGAGTTTGTGTTAGTCATTTTAAATTCTTTAAAGCATTATTATGTATACTATATATTAAATCTAGTTACGTCTCAAATTTGAACTGTTAAGCTTTTATTGATTGTAAATATTGGATTTTTTAAGTAATACCTTGGAGAGTTCTAAGTAAATATTAACTGTTGAAATTTAATTGCATTTCATGTCAGAAATTTTCTTAAAAGGAAAATTTTTAAGTCCCATCAAATTTAGTGAAAAGTTGTTTACGAAGCCGTTAGTTTTATTTTCAAGATTTATTTCAAAAAGTTTGCGTCAGGTTTAAGGTGTTATTCAGATAAAATTTAAGTAATTTTTAAAGGATATTTCTTTTTGTTTTAACACTAATCATGAAATTTATAATTTGTTTTCTTTCAGCATTATAAGTAACTTCTACTGGAATCTGCACAAAATGGTTTACTGCATGAAAATGAGTAGCAGATGCAACGAGTTGAATAAGGACTCTATACAGGTCAAGAACTCTTTATATTTTGTGGGATTGTTTTAGTTTGTGCACTTCATATTAATTGCCTACACATTGTACTAGACTGATACAGATATTTCAGATCTTTTATGTTACTTTCCCATTTTTTAAGTCTTTTCTTACTCGAAATTTTAACTCTAAGTAAGATGTTGAACGTTTTATGTAGTCATCTAGAAAATTGTAAGGTTTTAACTCTTAGATATTTCACTGTCTATTTCAAGTTATCATTCAGATTAGTCTGATTGGAAACATTGGGCGATCACTTACTCTTTGGAAAATCTTACCTAAGTGTTAATTTTGCCCAACTTATCTAAATTTAGATTGACTCAATAATAAGAAGCAACTAGTATTCTTATTGTAAGAAAGTGCTTAAAATTTAGCTCTTTCAAACTAAACACATTCGTTGTAATTTTTCATTAGCGTGTTTTTAAAGAGATTCAACTTTAAGACAAGGGAGATTCTGAAAACTAATTTCTAAATTTTTGCCTGGTTCCATTTTTATCAACTTTTTGTCTAGAGTTTTTGCAAAACTTATAAAAAATTCAATGAAGTTAAGTAATTTTTAAAGCAATTTTTGAAGTTGTGTGAGATATAAGCATTTAAAATAGTTCTATACTGATAAACAAAATTGAACAGAAAACAGATTTTCTTAATGTAGTGAATGTTATTTAATAACTAACGAAATTTAAGATTGTAATCTGACTTTTCGTTTCAAACAATTTTCTAAGAATAAAATCTGAAATAAAACTGGTTAAAATCTCTCTTGAAAATTGTATTTAATAATTCGCAAGTATCTGATTTTGAGTATTTCAAACTAAGCTCTTAAAATCACATCGTTTGATACGAAATTTGTAGAAAAATATCTAATTAAACAGTTATAGGGTATTGATAAAACATACAATTTGTTTACTTTCATGTTAAAATTGATTTTCAGTTATGAAAAAAAAAGTATTGTAAAGATGATTGTAAAGAAAAAAAAAAGGTTTACAGCTAAATTAAGTCCCTCCTAGCGCAGAAGTGATGAAGACTATACGAATGTAGAAACCTAAATACGATTTTTGTTTCAAACTTAAGTAGATAATTAAACATTTTTAATAGTCTATATACTTGCAATAAAATAAGTTAATAAAAGCAATTCTAATATAAGCACTTAAGGGTTCTTCGTGTTTTGATAGAGCTTAAATCCAATGATTTTATAGTATTGTGGTGTAATTGCAGTTGAAAGTAAAATTTAATAAAACAGATTGTCAACAAAATGCGTACTTGGCTCAGGAATTTTCAACTTAATTTTAAACTAAAATAAAAAAAATTATTTTAGCAAGTAGATGCGCTATTGAGTCTAGTCAAAGTACTTAACGTAAATTGAAGATAAATTTTAAGTCTATGACAAATTTATGAGTTTTAATGATACTTATTCGCTGCTGGAGTAGCAAAATAATGACTAACTGTTCAGTTCAAACAGAATAATGACTAAGTATTCAGTAATCACATAACACACCTTAACATTAACCATAACACTAATTCGCTGCTTCAGTGGTAGAATAAGTATAAGAGTAAACTCCTTTTTTGAATAAAAGTAACATTATGATTGGGTTAAATAGAAACTGTGTTGGAAAGTTAGCAAATTAACCGGGCAATTTTATTTAAAAAAATTTGAATTACGAAATTTTTGTAGGAATTTTGTTACAAAAGTAACAGTGAGTTCTTCAAAGTAAAAGCTAATTTACTAATGACTATGAAAATGATCTTTTAGTTGCAATTGTCGTAAATTGAAAATAACTTGCAAATTGCGTTTCTTACATTTGAGAGTACTTATAACAAACTTCATTCAAACCATAAGCCTAAATTCCATTTTACAGAGAATCAGATTGGCACTTAGTTCTAGCCCTACTTTAATGTTAAAAGCAAAACTAGTAGAAAATTAAGTTTCATGAAATTTTATGTGTAGAAGAATTATTTTTTTTATATTTGAAAAATTACTTTACAATAGAAAGTAAATATAAAAAGAAGTTTTCAATGTCTTGCATTTCAATCTCTTGTATTTGCTTGAAACATTTTAAAACTTTAGTAATGCAAAAGTTGCTCAATTAACGTATCGCCTTGCGTTTGTAGTCCCGTACATCTCATAATTCGAGCTTTCGTGCCATACAAAACTATTTATAACTAAAGGAAAGACCCAGCGGATAAGCGAAATATTTTTAATTCAAAAAATTAAATAAAATTAGATTATAAACATTAAGTTTATACAATTTACAGTTTAAGAAATTTTAACTAGAGTAGGCGAACCTTCTTATAAAATCAAAAGCATTAATGTAAAATATCGTGAGCATTTAAATTTTCAGAAATTATTAGTTTAAGAAATTAAATTCTAAAACATATTAAAACTAACCTAGAGGAAACCTGTGTATCTGAAGTGTTTTATAGTTATAATTGGTCAACGGTTGCTATGTTGTGAGAGGTCAGACTCTAAAGTACATATTACGATAATTCATAGTTTGATTTACAAAATTAAGAGTTAAAGTTTTAAGGGAAAAAGATAAGTATTTAATTTTTTGCTTTAATATTACTTTTAAACACTAATTTCGGCAGAGACAGTTTAGAGATTTTTAAATTTCAATCTTAAGCTATTGAGTCTTTTCTAATCTTTTTCAGAAGAGCTTTTTAACCTATCCTTCGAAACCAGACTATAGCTGAACGGAGAATCTCACAGGATGAAAGGGGCTATCAACCGTTTCTTGATTAACAGACTCAAGCAGGAATGAATTCTGACTTTAAGGACATCGCATCAAGGTGTGTATGTTATCTGTATATTCTGTGGAAGATTTGTTTAGTAAAGTTCTTGAGGGGCAAACTCTATTTCTGGCTGTGAATTTTTAAGCAAATTGAATATTTACAGCATGTTTTTTTTCTGTCATAAAATAAATCATTGAACGAAAGAATTTCGGGCAAGCTTTTTATCTTATTTTATATTTGAAAAAACTTGAATAAAAGATTTTTCTATATTATAATTCTAAAATATATATACTTGAAATTATGTAATAAATCTACGTAGTTTTTGAATTATTTTGATAAATTAAACAGCGACAGTGTTAAGACAAATCTTCAAATAAAATTACCTTTAATAGTTATTAAATTTAAGACACTAATCTAAATTTAAAAGTTGAAGTTAAATTTCAGTAAATAACAAAGAGAACTTCAAAATTTTTTTAAAGAAAGTTAAATAAAATCTGGCTGAAGACACAAGTATATATAAGTACCATTGTATATATAAAACCATGATACCCCAGATTCAAATACTATATATTAATCTAGTTAGGTCTCAAACTTAAACTGTTGAACTTTTATTAACTGTAAATACTGGTTTTTCTAAGTAGTACCTTGGAGAGTTCAGAGTAAATAGTAATTATTGTACTTTAATTGCATTTCGTGTGTGTTTAATTTTGTCTTTCTTACAATGACATAAATTTAAGTCTCATCAATTTTAGTGACCGGTTGTTTAAGAAGCTTTAAGTTTTATTTTTAAGATTCATTTCGTAAAAGAGTACACGTCGGGTTTAAACTGTTGTTCAGGTAACATTTAAGTAATTTTTAAAAGAAATTTCTATTTGTGTTTATCTCAAATTATGAAATTGACAATTTGTTTCCTTTTTAGAATTAGCCACTTCTATTGGAATCTTCACCTATGCTTTACTTCGTGAAACTGAGCCTCTGATGCAAAGAGAAAAATCTTCTACTAGAATCTGCACAAAATGGTTTACTACATGAAAAGGAGTAGCAGATGTAACGAGTTGAATAAGGACTCTATACAGGTCAAGAACTCTTTATATTTTGTGGAATTGTTTTAGTTTGTTCACTTCACATAAATTACCTACGCATTGTACTAGACTGATACAGATATTTAAGATCTTTGATGTTACTTTCCTTTTTTTTAATGAATAGTCTTAAGAATTTTTTTTAAAACATTAGGATGTAATTAAAAACATTTTATTTAAATTTTGGATGTAATATTCCTATATTATGACTGCCAAAGAGCAGATTTTTATGAATTTTAATTTTCTATTGATTCTTTAAACCTTCACGGCCAACTCTTTAATATGTACAACATTCAAATAAATATTGGTTAAAGCAAATACGGTTGGTTGGAAATCTCCGGATACGTTGATTTCCTCACCACAGATTATCGAAAATAGTGAAAAATTCTTTCCTTAGCCAAAATGTCAATTCTAAGTAAGATGTTCTGGAACGTTTCATGTAGTCATCAAGAAAATTGTAAGATTTTAACTCTTAGATATTTTACTCTCTATTTCAAGTTATCATTGAGACTAGTATGATTGGAAACATCGGAAGATCACTTAGTCTTTGGAAATTCTTACCTAACTGTTAATTTTCCTAAACTTATCTAAATTTAGATTGACCCAATAGTTAGAAGCAACTAGCATTTTTTTAAAAAAAAATTCAGTGCTTTCAAACTAACTGCATCGAATGTAGCTCTTTATTAGCGTGTTTTAAAAAGCTATTCAAATTTAAGATAAAAAGGGTGCGATTCTAAAAAAAAAAAATTCAATTAATAATTAAATATAAAGTTTCGAGCAATTTTCTAAGTATTTTTGATTGTAAATTTTTAGTATTTTTCTCGATGCACAAAACAAACTAAGAATACCTTTAAAGTTATACTTAATTCAGAAGTATCTGATTTGGTGTATATCAAAAACTGAACCTAAAACCACATCGTTAGATACGAAATTTATAGAACTATAAAAGGGCATTTATAAAAATTTTGCTTACTTTCAAATTGAACTATATTTTTTTTCATTAAAAAGAAATGGCGTTAACTATAATTTTTTCCACTTAAGTTAATTTCCCGCCTAGTGCAGAACTGAGGTAGGCTATGTGAATGTAAAAACCTAAATATTTACTTTTAAATTTAATTATAAATTTAAGCATTTTTAATAGTCTACATACTTACATTAGGATGAGTTAATATAAAAAAATTCAAAAATAAGTACTTCTAAGCAATTAATCTTTGATTTAGCTTAAATCCAAGGATTTTATAGTATTGTGGTGTAATTGCAGTTGAAAGTGAAATTTAATAAGACAAATTTCCAACAAAATGCGTTCTTGTCTCTGTTATTTTAAACTAAAATAAAAAAATTAGTTTAGCAAGTAACTAATTTTGTAAAGGTAATACGCTATTCAGTCTAGTCAAATTACTCATGGTAAATTAAAGATAAATTTTATTTTGTCTATGACAAATTTATGACTTTTAATGATGCTTATCTGAAGTAGCAAAATAATGACTAACTGTTCAATAATCACGTAACATATCTTAACATCAACCATATAACACTAATTCGCTGCTTCAGTGGTAGAATAAGAATAGAATATAACAGTGTACTTTTGAGTAAAATTATAATTGGGATTGGACTGAATAGTATCTGCCTTAAAAATTGGTAATTTAACTGGAAATTTTATGTTTAGTATAAATCACACTTTTAATTACTTAAGTTTTATAAAAATTTTGTTTCAAAGGTCACTTCAAAGTAAAACTAATTTTCGAACGGCTGTAAAAAAAGATCTTTTAGTCGAAATTCTCATAAACTTGAAATAACTTAAAAACTGCGCTTATTACATTTGAGATTACTTATAACAAACTTCATTCAAACCGTAAGTTTAAATCCACTTCACAGAAAAATCAGGTTGGCATATAGTTCTAGCCCTACTTGATTTTCTTCTAGTTTTGTTTTTGACATTAAAGTTATCAAATTTTATGTGTAGAAGAAACTTGTTATGTTTGAAAAATTTATTTAAATAGAAAATAAATATAAAGAGATGTTTCAATGTCTTGTCTTGCATTTCAATGTTTTATATTTGTCTAAAATTAAAATTTAAAACTAAGGCAATGTAAAAGTTGCTGAATTAACGTATTGCCTTGCGTTTGTAGTCCCGCACATAAGCATAAGAGCTTTTGTGCTACTCAAAACTATTTGTAACAAAAATAAAAACCCAGTGGATATGCGAAATATTTTTAATTCAAAACATAAGTAGAATTCGATCATAAACATTAAAAGCTTATACAATTTCCAGTTTAAGCCTTTTGATTTTATAAGAAGGTTCGCCTACTCTGGTTGAAATTTCTTAAAGTAAAATATCGTGAACATATAAATCTTCAGAAATTATTAGTTCAGCAAACCAAACATATTAAAACCAATCTCTAGTGGAAATCTGTATGCCTGAAGTGTTTTATAGCTATAATTCTCAGACAGTTGCTATTTTTTAAACGGTACGACTCCCAAGTACATAATACTCTTAATTTTCATTTATCTCAATCATTGTAAGTTTTAAGTAGAGTTGCAGGAAAAATAAAGGTTTATTCTTTTACTTTAAAATAACATTTAAACATAAACTTTGCCAGAGACAGTTTAAAGATTTTTTAAATTTTTATCTTTAAGCAATTGAGTCTTTTTTTATATATATATATATAGATTAACTTTAACCTGTCCTTCGAAGCAAGAAAACGATCAGCCCCATGTACTATGATAAATGTTTAGTAATTATACTTTCTTTGAGAACTTTAGCTCTGTTAGAGTAATTTAAATGTTTACCCCCCATAAATCTGCGATCTATCGGAAACTCGATATAGGGACATAGTTTTACAACCAAGGTAAATTTGTGTGAAACGAAAAATTCCGAGACGAACTCGACAAGCGTGGAGTTCGAATTGGAAGCGGTAGACGGCCGTTCTGCTCTCTTCGAGCTCTACACTCGTTCAGCAGTTTCGGAACTTTTTGATTTCCTTGTGTACGCTGCTATAGTAAAACAGGGTCTCTTCAGTAAGGACTGGGGTGGCTTTTGGAGTTCTGGGGGTCCTGGACTGCGATGCTAGATCGCATGTTCGTGACCTGAAGTCTCCGAGGAACTCTAGCACTTACTGCCGAATAGCCTAGAAGCTGTTAAAAGTAACTTTTGGACTAGAGCGTTCATCAAATTTTAAAGGGCTGGGTAGTAAGGTCCTGGACTGCAATTTTACATTGCAAGTTCGTGCCCTGAAAATCTCCGGCACTTTAAAATTGCTTAGTAGAACTAGACCACTCGTAGAACTTTAGATTACGANATTTTTATCTTATAGCAATTGAGTCTTTTTTTATATATATATATATAGATTAACTTTAACCTGTCCTTCGAAGCAAGAAAACGATCAGCCCCATGTACTATGATAAATGTTTAGTAATTATACTTTCTTTGAGAACTTCAGCTCTGTTAAAGTAATTTAAATGTTTACCCCCCATAAATCTGCGATCTATCGGAAACTCGATATAGGGACATAGTTTTACAACCCAGGTAAATTTGTGTGAAACGAAAAATTCCGAGACCACTCGACAAGCGTGGAGTTCGAATTGGTAGCGGTAGACGGCCGTTCTGCTCTCTTCGAGCTCTACACTCGTTCAGCAGTTTCGGAACTTTTTGATTTCCTTGTGTACGCTGCTGTAGTAAAACAGGGTCTCTTCAGTAAGGACTGGGGTGGCTTTTGGAGTTCTGGGGGTCCTGGACTGCGGTGCTAGATCGCATGTTCGTGACCTGAAGTCTCCGAAGAACTCTAGCACTTACAGCCGAATAGCCTAGAAGCTGTTAAAAGTAGCTTTTCAACTAGAGCGTTCATCAAATTTTAAAGGGCTGGGTAGTAAGGTCCTGGACTGCAATTTTGCATTGCAAGTTCGTGCCCTGAAAATCCCCGGCGCTTTGAAAGTGTTTAGTAGAACTAGACCACTCGTAGAACTTTAGATTACGACAGTATGTAATCGTTTAAAGATCTCAACAAAAAGTGATCTAAGCCTTATGTGGATGAAGGTTGCATTTGACGAATGCTCTTAAAATTTGCGTTGAAACTTAGTATCGTTCTGAGTTTGAAACTTATAATTGTAAAAACTTATGTTAGCGATAAATTTAAAGAAGAAAGTTTTATAAAAAATTTTAAAATGAAGGTCTAATTTGCTAAACCTTAAATCATATAAACTACTAAATAGAACTTTTATAATTGCCATTTTTTAAACAATTATGACTGTGCAGATAAGTTCTGAATCCGACTGTTATTAATGTTATGTGCTAAAATAGTTAATAACAAAACCAAACTTAAGGTAAAACTAATCCAAAGTTCGAGTAATTTGACAGTATTTGCATTGAATAGATTTTCTAAAGTTTCAATTTTAAGAGGTAAAACCTTTTTTGAATAAACAAAAGGGAATTTTTAAATTTTAATAAATACATTTTATACGAATCTACTCCTAAATTTAATTGAAATGTTTTTAATGCATGGAAAATTTACCTTCAAACAAAGAGGCAAATACAGTGCTGCAAGTTAAACTGATCAGTAATTTTAAAGTTTCTCATTCACTTCAAACTTAATTTTAGTGTTGAAATTAACGAAATTGCGTTTTCCTAAAGCTAAAATGTTTTTCTTAAATATCTTGTATCAGCTAGATTAACATGAATGAAACTGTTCTGAAATTTTATTTTAAGAGAATACTGAAACAGTATGTATTTAATAACAAATGTATCTTATTTCTCTATATTACGATGGAGTATGAAATTTAAACTTTAATGTTTTGTGTCAACGTTGTTATATTGATGTAAGTGGATTGTTACTTGCCTTGAATATTTATTAGTTTAAAACCCTTTTGTGTACACAATTATCCACTAAAAATGCTCTTGATATAAATTTATTTTTTAAATGAATACTGGATTATACTTCTAGTTTATTTAGTAGTA